CAGCAATAACAACACTGTCAGATTTTCTAGCCCTTCTCCATGCTACTAAAAACTTAGTTTTGTTGTTGTTGTTGATATATCCAATCATTGGCTGGAAGCTAGGGGAAATCTTCCTAACTGGGACACAGACAGTAATAAAAACCTGTCCCTGCTTTATTCAGAACTTACATTTTGGCTTCATCTGGGCCTTAAGTATGTAACAAAAAATGTGAGACTTCATGAACAGTAGTGGGGAGATCACATTTTAAAGTGTATTTCCACTTTTGCAGCCAAATTGGGAAATTTGTTATGTCTCCATTCACAAAATGTAAAAAATGATAACTTACCTTTTTAGATGCTCTATTCTGGACCCTCCACCAAGGAAAAATCCTAGGTGGTTTTCTTTATTTATGAGGAGGCTTAGTAGCTGTTTGCCGTAATTAACCCTGTCTGTACTGTGCACGCTGATCTTCATTACCAATTGCTACTAGGTTTAAACACTGTCTGACCTAAAGCCGACCATGGATGGTTCAAATCTTGGCTGGTTCAACAGGGACCAGCTGAGCTTCGAACCATGTATGGGCAGAATGAATGTACCCAACTTGAACAATCAACTTGAGTCAACCAGCCTGTTGGATTTTACATGCAATATAGCTATTATAGCTGCTAGCAGTAATCACTGTGTTCTCCTGGAGGGACAGCTCCTCTAGCCCCCCCTCCCACCAGGAGAAAACAATGGCTCCACAGAAGGGATTGCCTCTTTAACACTGTGTTGATGAGGGAATCTAACTGTCTATGGTCAGCTTAAGAAAGGTATTGAGACTGGGTTTTGGCATTGCAGGTTATGGAGTACAAACCTGGCTCACTCAACAATGTTTGAAAATCTTTGCAGTCAGCCATGACACCTCCCCCTTAGAAACATATAAAATGTAAGAAATATTTTTTAAAATGCTTGGCATGTTGTGTGAATGGGAACACTTATAGTAGGGTTTTCTCAAATTTGACTGCAAAAATCGCTTTACACTTAGATGCAAAACTGTTGTGGGACTACATTTCCTTTGTGCCGTAAGTTGTTTTTTTTATCTTTAATTCATCCTTTTTTTATTTTTCGTCTTAGTGCTGCTGATCTTCTTCAACCTTAAGCCCTGTATACATGAACAGAATATCAGGTGGTAGGGGCTGGTTCAATTTAAACTGGCTGACATTCGGCCCGTGTGCAGGGCAGCTCAACTGGCTTCTGTTGATGCGGCATGAATGAAAAAAGTCTGCCGATTGGCTTCCAATCAGTGCTGACAGGTGTGTTCTGGTGGGGAGGTGGTCCCCCTCTCAGAACACAATAGCACAGTAAAGGAGATCGCTGTACTAACATCCGATTGTGTTAGTACAGAAATCTGTCAGTTTTTTTTGTTTACGGGGCATTATTACTGTTTACTTATGGTTTTACCTGCACTCATTTAGCATAGACCACATATCACTGCAGCAGACCATGCTTAGGCAATGTGTGTCAACATGGCCCCTTGTAGTCTCCATTGAGGAGGAATGTGACAGGCTGACAGTGCAGAACATATAGGGAGCAGCTTTTCTTCATTAGCAGAAAGTTCCTCAACAAGGAACTTCACAGATGACAATATATTTAACCACCTGCCGTCCGGAAGATTTTGCCCCCTTCCTGACCAAGCCACTTTTTACTATACCGCACTGTGCTACTTTAACTGACAACTGCACAGTCATGCAACACAGTTTTCACATGAAATTTATATAATTTTTTTTCAGACAAATAGAGCTTTATTTTGGTGGTATTTGATCACCACTGGGGTTTTATTTTTTTGAGCTATAAACAAAAGAATCCCGACAATTTTGAAAAAAAGCACAACACAAAAAAAACCAAAACAATATTTTTTACTTTCTGTTCTAAATCATATCCAATAAATAAAAAAAAAAATCAAATTTCTTCATAAATTTAGGCCAAAATGTATTCTGCATCATAATTTTGATTAAAAAAAATCCAATAAGCGTATATTGATTGGTTTACATGTATCTATATACTATATATTTATATATACAGTTGTGTTCAAAATAATAGCAGTCAGACATCACTAACCTGATCAATCACTGGTTTTGGTAGAAATTATATTTCTACATGGCAAACAATTTACTAGCAGGTGGAGTAGAGTAATAGAAATCCAACAGACCCAACAGTCATGACATGCATGCTGCTGATTCTGTGTAATTGAATCACTAAATGAAAGGGGCATGTTCAAAATAATAGCAGTGTGGAGTTCCATTAGTGAGGTCATTCATTCTTTGAAAAACAGGTGGCAATTATTGCCCTTATTTAAGGAAGGAAGGCAGCAAATGTTGTACATGCTGGTTACAGTGTATTTCTCTCTGAAATTCTGAGGAAAATGGGTCATTCCAGACACTGTTCAGAAGAACAGCGTACCTTGATTAAAAAGTTGATTGGAGAGGGGAAAACATATAAAGAAGTGCGGAAAATGATAGGCTGCTCAGCTAAAATGATCGCAAATGCTTTAAAATGGCAACCAAAACCTGAAAGACGTGGAAGAAAGTGAAAAACTACCATTCGAATGGATAGAAGAATAGCCAAAATGGCAAGGACTCAGCCAACAATCAGCTCCAGGAAGATCAAAGAAGGTCTAAAGTTACCTGTGAGTACTGTTACAATTAGAAGACGCCTATGTGAAGCCAAGCTATCTGCAAGAAGCCCCCGCAAAGTCCCACTGTTGAAAAAAAGACATGTGCTGAAGAGGTTACAATTTGCCAAAGAGCACATTGACTGGCCTAAAGAGAAATGGCGCAACATTTTGTGGACTGATGAAAGTAAGATTGTTCTTTTTGGGTCTAGTGGCCAGAGACAGTTTGTCAGACGACCCCCAAACACTGAATTCAAGCCACAGTACACGGTGAAGACAAGTGAAGCATGGTTGCGCAAGCATCATGATATGGGGATGTTTCTCATACTACTGCCTTATGCTGAAGAGGAAATGCCCTTGAAATGGGTGTTCCAACAAGACAACGACCCCAAACACACCAGTAAACGTGCAACATCTTGGTTCCAGACCAACAAGATTGACGTTATGGAGTGGCCAGCCCAATCCCCGGATCTTAATCCAATAGAAAACTTGTGGGGTGACATCAAATATGCAGTTTCTGGGGCAAAACCAAGAAATAGAGAAGAACTGTGGAATGTAGTCCAATCATCCTGGGCTTGAATACCTGTTCACAGGTGCCAGAAGTTGGTTGACTCAATGCAACACAGATGTACAGCAGTTCTCAGAAACAGTGCTTATACAACTAAGTATTAATTAAGTGATTCAAAGGAAAGCAAAATCTTCAAACATTTTTCAGTTTATATAGTGAATGTTTGAGTTTGTAAAGAAGAATACAAACACTGCTATTTTTTTGAACAGTCTAATATTCACTTTTCTTCAGTTTTTTTAGAGGAACAACACAAATTTGATATATTTTTCTTAATGTTTTGATTTGGAATAGAATGCGTAGTGTTCCCAGTGCATTTGTGTGTATGGAAATAAAAGCTATTAGAAGGATTTTGAGCTTTATTCACTTTTTTTTAACACACTGCTATTATTTTGAACACAACTGTATATATACACACACAGTGGGGAAAATAATTATTTGATCCCCTGCAGATTTTGTAAGTTTGCCCAGTTACAAACAAAAACACATGATACAAATGTTGTAAAGTATTCGGTCCCCTACCAACCAACAATAATTCTGGCTCCCATAGACTGGCTATGTGCTCATGTGGTACACAGACTAGTCCCGTCAATTTAAGAAGGTGCTCAAAATGACAACTCGTTATGTGTATAAGACACCTGTCCACAGAATCTATTTCTTCCATGCAAACCTCACCACCATGGGCCAAAGACCAAAAAGTTGTAAAAGGACATCAGGGACAAGACTGTAGACCTGCCCAAGGCTGGAATAGGCTACAAGACCATCAGCAAGAAGCTTGGTGAAAAGAAGACAACTGTTGGAGCGATTATTCGCAAATGGAAGAAATACAAAATAACCATCAACCGCTCTCGGTTTGGAGCTCCATGCAAGGTTTTGCCTCATGGGGTAAGGATGATCATGAGAAAAGTGAAGGATCAACACCAGGTTGAGAGGGGATCAAATACTTATTTTCTTAATTGAACTGCAACTCAAATTTATAACATTTGTATCCTGTGTTTTTTTCTGGATTTTTGGTTGATATTCTGTCTCTATGATTTAAAATACACCTATGATAAAAATTATAGACCTTTCATTTCTTGGTACGTGGGCAAACTTACAAAATCTGCAGGGGATCAAATAATTATTTTCTCCACTGTATACTTTGAGTTTAATATCACTTTAAAGCCCATTCCCATCTGACATTTTGGAATCTTGGGCAGAATCGCTGCGATTCGGTCCACAATCCCGAATCACACTGCAATAGTGGCAAAACATACAACACGTGTTCGGGTGCCACTGATTTTTAGATGTTGTGGCAATCGTGGCAAATAACATTGCACGAAGCTTGTCACTGAAAAAGGAGATGGAGCTTCAAGATTAAACATTTCTATTACAATGAATGACACCTGAACATGTGGTGCGTTTTGCCACTATTGCAGTGCAATTTGGGAGTGCTGGCAGAATTGCTGAGATCCCAAAACCTCAGATGTGCATGGGGCCTAACAGCAACTTTATCTTATTATTTTTATATCTTGCTTTAAAGCTTACAAGGTTTTAGCAATTGGGTTTCGGGTTGATTTTAGGTCCCAGAGAAAGTAATCAGTAGCTTATTTAACCCCTTTACGCCGACCTCACACAAATATGCGGCCTGACTGCACTGGGCTTTATGTCGTAGGGCTGCATATTTGCGTATCTCCTTTTGTGCTGGGAGTGCGCCTCTAGTCATCTCCTGTACTATGTCTGCAGTCTCTGGCCATCTCCTGTACTATGTCCGCAGTCTCTGGTCATCCCCTGCACTGTGTCCGCAGTCTCTGGTCATCCCCTGCACTGTGTCCGCAGTCTCTGGTCATCCCCTGCACTGTGTCCGCAGTCTCTGGTCATCTCCTGTACTGTGTCTGCAGTCTCTGGTCATCTCCTGTACTGTGTCTGCAGTCTCTGGTCATCTCCTTTACTGTGTTCGCAGTCTCTGGTCATCTCCTACAGTATGTCCGCAGTCTCTGGTCATCTCCTACAGTATTGTCCGCAGTCTCTGGTCATTTCCTACAGTATGTCCGCAGTCTCTGGTCATCTCCTGTACTATGTCCGCAGTCTCTGATCATCTCCTGTACTATGTCCGCAGTCTCTGGTCATCTCCTACAGTATTGTCTGCAGTCTCTGGTCATTTCCTACAGTATGTCCGCAGTCTCTGGTCATCTCCTGTACTATGTCCGCAGTCTCTGGTCATCTCCTGTACTATGTCCGCAGTCTCTGGTCATCACCTGTACTATGTCTGCAGTCCATTGGTTCAGAATATTTTTTTTCTTGTTTTCCTCCTCTAAAACCTAAGTGCGTCTTATGGAGCGAAACATTTGGTAGTATCAGTGTCAGTGTGTTTTAAGTAGGACAAAAAAACTCATCAAAATGTGCTTCTGGGCTGTACTATGGGTACAAACAACAAATAACATACACAGATGTGGTAACACTGCAATCATCAGGAGTAGGAGAATTTATTTTGGGTTTTTCTTTGGTGGTAGATTATGGTACTAACAAGAAATATACAGCTAAATTAGAAAAAAAATATTTTTGTTTCACTATTTTGGGCCAGTTTTCCTTTGATGATAAAAAAACAGGAAATATCCATTACCATTCACCACCAAATGAAAGCCTAACTTGTCCTGAAAAAAACAAGGTATGCACAAAGTAGTTGTGGTGATACGTATAGTTTTACTAACAAAGTTCCAAAATTGTGCTTAAGCAGGAAGATTTGTTTTACCCTTAGGCATGAAGGGGTTATTACAGGAACCTCTCCTCACAACTGATACGGCAGTTAAAGGTTGATTAACCCTTTATTTATTTGTTTTTACAGCTCTTCACTTTCAATCCTGTAGGATCACATACATTCCAAATCAGTGAATAAAACACAGCAATTTGTGAGTAAAAAAATACAAACTTCTACAATCAACTTTAGATATCAAATCCCTTGTATATTTGTTTGTAAAAACCACATTACAGGCATTTCGTTAGCACAATGTAGCATATATCATAAGCAATAATGACACATAAATAGCCACTATCAGGCCACATTTTTTTTTATTTAGTAGTGTTTTATGTTCCCAAGTTACATTTTAGGTCTATTGATGTAAGACTACAAAATTACCATTTGATTTTTTTTCTGTGCTTATAAAATACCAACATTTGTTTTTTTACTGTCATACACTCTGTAACACAGTCTGCAACAATTTACATGGAATCATAGGCACTTCAAAGGCTTATAAAGACTTTTACAACTTAAATGCATGGAGGAAAAATAAAAAATATTCTTTAAACTCCTACTCGTACCTTTGGAGAGAAAGAAAATAAAACACATGGAAAGAAAGTTTGTACTGTGGCCACAGACTTTGTCAGAATACTGTTCTAATCTTTGGATTTGGTTCTACCACACAATCCAGGCTAAGGTAGCCATGGCTTTGTAGCTGACATAGAACTACTATAGGTCATAGCTGGTTGGCAGGGTTTGCTGGGACCTGTAGTTCCATGGCAGCAGGCGAGCCAAATGTTTTGTAATAGGAACCTGCCAGGAAGGACCAGAGTAGCTGCCATTGCGGACTTGTGTTGATGGTGTGTGCTCAGAACACCTTATATGTTCAGGCTCTTTCCAAGTCACTAAAGCACCAAATAGAGAAGCAAAGGTCAGGATGCCAGACCCTTCAGAAACAAATCAGCGATGGCAGCTCCAATATTTGTACAGTGACAGATTCCCTTTAAATGACAGCTCCTGATAAAACAGATTTCTGTTTTTGGTGCAGTGTGGCATGGTTCATTCCATAGTTAGGTATTTAATGCTCTGCAAGATCCAAAACAGGGATTTCGTCCCTCATTCCAAAATACAAGTTTGAGCCTTGGTTTTGAACTGAGCAATTATTGTCACTTTCTCAATAGTTCCTCTATAGAGAATCTACCGCAGATTAAAAGCAACACTGCATCACTTTCTCAACCTCTTTATCCCAGGTAAACCCTTGAAATGATTTCCAGGTTTCAGGGAACCCCTGCTAAATTCAATTCATGGAGGGTCAGTGGGAAGAATTCTCCTTACATTGGTGATCAGTGGGAAGAATGCCCCCCCCCCCCCACAAGACAGTTAATTGGTGTCATGCCAATGTCTCTGCCAAGTGGCATTGAACCCAATACTATTCAGGAACCATCAGATGGGAGATCAATTGGCCACAGCTCAAGGGACCCTATTAAACTCTGGAGGAACCCCGGTTGGGAATGGCAACTCAATAAACCCTAGTTGACAATGGCTGCCCTAGTGCAGCATCCTTGTATAGAGCTTGCTTATTATGCTGCTGACAGTGGATGCTTGGCTGAATAATTGTGATCAGCCTGTCATGAGGAAGATGGGCAGGAAGCCACCCTAGAGGGTCCTGGAGAGAATTAAAATGGGGGGAACTAAGCCTGCCCCACCAAAAACAGAAAACCTTGTTTTGGCTGGAGTTGCCCATTAAGCTTGTCATAATCCATGCCAAGGTAAAGCAGCTTACGGCTCTCCAGCAGCTGATGTACAATTCCCAGCACACACTGGAAAGCCTCTCATTGGACCTCATCTGTCAATGTCTAAAGGAGGAGTTAGTCTTAGCAACCATTCACCTTCCTGTTTTTATTTTAAACATTCCTAGAAACGTGAATTGAATAATCTGACTGATTGCTGGAACTTTTAGAGTTCTTTTCAGACACTGATGAATGAGTCCCACGGTCTAATCAGTTTATATCACATATGTAATACATGTGTAGCCAGAGTCACCAGCACTTCGTTTTAGGTAAGGTGTTACTGGCCTTCTCCTGATTGGAGGAATTAAAGGTGCATTCACTCTTAAAATGATATGAGCATAGTAGTAACAGATCTAAAATTAGGAAAGGAAACAAGTGCCTGCACTGATTTTAGCGGGTTTCTTTTCCCAGTGCATGCTAAAGAGGAGATTCAGAAACCTTATTAAGCCTGGTTTTAGGTAAAAGAAAGCTTTTTTTTTTGCCCATATTTGTTAAAGGCTAAAACAACAATAAATGGCAAAGATCAATACCCTAGATCAACCAACCAGACTTGACACTGCTTGTCAGCTCAGTGAAAGAGAACTTCTGATTGCCTACTATGAGTTTGCTGTTCTTTGCCCTTTCATTTTTTGAATAAAGCTGAATTCATATTCTCCTATTGAACACCTAATTTTATACAGTAACTCTGATGCTAAACACTGTTGAAAAAAAAAAAGAAAAAGGGTCTGTAAAGCAAAAGGTTAAGGCCTCATGCGCAAGTGTGCATGGGGCTATAGAACATAAATTTTACTGTCCAGGAGAGAGCTACAGGATACAGCTGTCCAAGAGTAATGATTGGCTGAATGTGTGAATACACCGTACTTGCATAAACACATACAAACGTAAATCCCTGGAAGAGGCTTGTGTGCATCCAAGATTTGTGGCCATGCACGTGGCATGAGAGTTTCCTGGGCGTGGAAGCACACCCACAATTTACATTGACCTCCCTCATGCAGCTAAGCATAGAAGGTCTTGTACCTACCTCTCCCGTTGCCCATGCCACTGATCAATGCTCTGTTGAAGTTTTGATTGCTGAAAAATTTCCTGCATCTAACCCACTTCTGGGTGTGTCAGATACTTGGTCCCAGCTGGTCCCTACATCAATATTACGTACTGAAGTGATGAAAGGAGTAGTGTTCTGAACCACAGTAAGCAAAGTGGATCCAGAAATCAGACCCTCACAAAAGAACTATGCTTGCAGAAAAATCTTCAGCATCTGACAGAGAGAAAATCAGTAGCACGGACAGTGGGACAGGTAAATATTAACCTTTTTCTACACAGGCTGGGCTTTTTTTAAATCTATTTTTACTGAGAGACAAGAGTCACTATAAGCATAGTAATTATTGTTATATAAATGAACATTGTGATGCCAGAGACATGGGTGCTATTGATACAAAACATAGCCCTTTATCCACAATTCATCTGCTGATTACAGCACAACTATATCCAGGATTCTAGAGTAATAAAAACATGCATAATGCACCATTTACTCTAAAACACCCAAACCTCTATGTTTTCCCTGAGCTCTGCTCAACCCGCTGTAACATTCACTTTCACTCTGGGCAAATGCTGGTGCCATTTTGATTGGGTGATGTTGTCCTTTCTGTTAGTCTGAGTTCACCCACAGCTTATGCCTTGAGATAAGTTTTAAGGATTGCCTGTGGAATCTTGCGTGATAAAACATCATGTGATCAACAGCCCAGGAGAGCAAATCTTGAAGGACCATCCTCTAATACTGTAAAGTGACAATCCTTGGCCTGCCATGCCCATCCTGGAAATGCAAGGACGCATGCACAGTGTAAAAGAGCATGCTGAGAGTTATAAAGAAATGAAAACTCTAGTTCAATCAAAGCGAAATTATGTGGATACAAAAAAATTCCACTTTATTTGGGCATCCCGATTAGTTCTCCATGGCACCAATTTATTGCTCTGCTGTAACTAAAAGCAAATAACCTTTTCAAAGAGGAATATTCACAATAAAGCTAGCTCAGCTTTTTATGTGTTTAAGTGGTGCAAAATGAACTCAATTGTTGACTGATGAATAACTGACAAACATGTCTGAAAACAATCTCTTTGGGAGAAAAAAATATCTATTACAAAAGCGCAAAATGTGGAAAGATTTAGATATAATAGACAAAACAATGTGTTCTCTATGAAAACTTCCTATCATACATTTATCAGATTAGCATTCCTATTCTGAGATTTATGTTAGCACATCTATGAATACAAAAGTTCACTTTGTTTGCCAACACTCCACATTATGTCTATGTTTTAGATATCATCATTCCTTAAAAAAAAAAAAAACGGATTAAAAAATTATCCATATAATGCTGCATTTTTGCTATTCTTGTTTTCTACAAAGTTCAGCAGATTGATAGCAGACAGGTCAGATTGGAACCCCAGCAGCTGCCAAAACCACATAAGGAAATGGTCAACTTGCCTCTTGGTATTCTGAATTATATGCAATATTGATTGGATTTGGTGGCATTATTCTTTTAAAGAGAAATAATAAAATCCTAAACAGAAAACAAAAAAAAAAATGTCACTTGAGAGTTCTCAGAGGGTGTTTTTATTTTTTATAGTACTGGTTTTTATGTTTTAAATTAAGTTTTCCATTCACAACACAGCTTTGTGCACCTGCATTACAGTAGCAAGTGCATGTAGCTTTTTTTAGCCAATCACGGAGTAGGTGGGTGGTACAGATGTTGGCGCAAGTTTGCTAATATAAAGCAGCTGCTGCAGTGGCAGCGCACAATTGGGTGGCACCATTGTATGCAGACCATACAAAGGCAGCATTGGCATTCTTACACAGGAAGTGCTGAGGACCGTATTTTTTTTGGATACTAGAAATAGAAAAACTTTATTAAAATACCAACAGCTCATAAAATATACAGGAATATTTACTAAAACTGGTGCACTGTGCATGGTAGCCAATCAGCTTCTAACTTCAGCTTGTTCAATTAAGCTTTGACAAAACCTAGAAGCTGATTGGTTTCTATGCAGAGCTGTGCCAGATTTTGCACTCTCCAGTATTACTAAATTTCCCCCAATATACTTTTTGAGGAAGGTGTTAGATATACTTTAAATGTTTTAGAATACAAAAACGATAAGAGTGAATGCACCTTCAAAATAAGTAGCTTACTAACAGCTTGTAAGTAGATAGTTTGTTTTTTTTCATTTTGCACGAAAGACTAAATTTGCTAGGAAGTACACTGAAAATTAGAGCGGTATTGTTAAAAAAAGAAACAAAAAAAACAAACCAAAACAAAAAAGAAAAAAACAAACCAAACAAAAAAAAATGAAAGAAAAAAGGAAAGTAAAAATAAAAAATATTAGACAGATTTATACAAATTTTAAGTTTACATAGGAAGAAAAAAAAAGTACATTTACACTAATATACTGTATATCTGAATTACCCTAGGACGATTGCACCATGACGACTACTAAAAAAGGCATTTGTTTGGAAACAGATAAATTAATGAAACAAAAACTAAAACTTTGAGCGATCTGAGACATGCTAAAAATATTAAACAACCTTTTATAGACCCGAAGATTGAAAGCTACTGTTTGTCATTTTTCCATCTTGTATGTTTATGCATAAAGATATGAAACATCTTGGTGAATACCAATGGTCATATAAAATAATACTTTGCCACTGTTACCCACTCAACAATGCCAAGATTTTTTTGTACTTTTTGTTTTTAAGGAATACATGAAAAGTTTTTTTTTTCTTAAATACAATGGGATTTTTTTTCATATTATAATTTGCCCCCGAGGCTCTTTAGAGAACAAGGAAAAAAAAAAGAAATCTTCTTTATTCTATGCAAAAGCTTTATTTAAAAGAAAAACAAAAAAAAGTTCAGTGATCTCAAAAAAGAGACACTAGGTGGGAGTTTTATGCATAAAACTCTTTAGTAGGTGCCTTTTGGTAGACGGCGCTGGATGGTTTTCGTTCTCCCAGGTCGTAGCTGCCTTCATCCTTCTTCCTCATGCGATACACAAGCAGCAAGATGAGGAAAACAGCAAAAAGGAAGCCGATGCCTCCACCAGCAATAACCGCTGAAAGGCAAGATTAGATGTTGTTAGATATGACATTTTGGTGAAAGCTGAACTTCACTTATTGATGTGATATATTAAAGTGGAATTCAAGATAAACGCCATTTAATTCATCTCCACTCTGTCCAAAACAAAAAAAAAGTTTTGCCTTTAGTTATACTTTAAAGAGGAATCAAAAACTTCCTATCTTTTATAGTCAAGGAAGCTGCCATCTTCGCCTGTTTGATCTGCAGCTGCCATGTGATCAGCTATGACACCAGCTATTTGATGGCTTCACAGCTCAGTTGAGACCCAACATAAGCACACTGGCAACTTACAGTTATCATTCATGGCATGCCTTCAGTGTAACGGATTCGGTGGGTTTAGTTTTCCTTTAAGTGATTTAATACAGTATAATAGTGTAGTATGCAACTGAACTTAGATTACCATGCTGTATATACTTGATTAATTACTGCATTTCTTTTACTGTGTGAGCATATTACTATGGGAATTGAGGCCAGTCTTTGGCGCCCGCACTTTAAGGGCTTGGAAGGGGTTATGTAAAGTTCGAACTATACAGGTGAAACTCGAAAAATTTGAATATCATGCAAATGTTCATTTATTTCAGTAATGAAACTTAAAAGGTGAGACTAATATAAGAGATAATGAGTTTACATGCAAAGCAAGATAGTTCAAGCTGTGATTTGTCATAATTGTGATGATTATGGCTTACAGCTAATGAAAACCCCAAATCGACAATCTCAGAAAATTAGAATATTACATGCAATCAATAAAACAAGGATTGTACATAGAACAATATCGGACCTCTGAAAAGTATAAGCATGCATATGTACTCAGTACTTGGTTTGGGCCCCTTTTGCAGCAATTACTGCCTCAATCTGGCGTGGCATGGAAGCTATCAGCCTGTGGCACTGCTGAGGTGTTATGGAAGACCAGGATGCTTCAATAGCGGCCTTCAGCTCTTCTGCATTATTTGGTCTCATGTCTCTCATCTTTCTCTTGGCAATGCCCCATAGATTCTCTATGGGGTTCAGGTCAGGTGAGTTTGCTGGCCAATCAAGCACAGTAATCCCACGGTCATTGAACCAGGTTTTGGTGCTTTTGGCAATGTGGGCAGGTGCCAAGTCCTGCTGGAAAATAAAGTCAGCATCCCCATAAAGCTTGTCTGCGGAAGGAAGCATGAAGTGCTCCAAAATCTCCTGGTAGACGGCTGCGTTGACCCTGGACTTAATGAAGCACAGTGGACCAACACCAGCAGATGACATGACCCCCAAATTAACACAGACTGTGGAAACTTCACACTGGACTTCAAGCATCTTGCAGTGTGTGCCTCTCCATTCTTCCTCCATACTCTGGGTCCTTGGTTTCCAAATGAAATGCAAAAGTTGCTCCCATCAGAAAAGAGAACTTTGGACCACTGAGCAACAGACCAGGTCTGTTTTTCTTTAGCCCAGGTAAGACGCTTCTGACGTTGTTTGTTGTTCAGGAGCGGCTTGACAAGAGGAATACGACATTTGAAGCCCATGTCCAGGATCCGTCTGTGTGTGGTGGCTCTTGATGCACTAACTCCAGCCTCAGTCCACTCCTTGTGAAAGTCCCCAACACTTTTGAATGGTGTTTTTTCCTGACAATCCTCTCCAGGCTGCGGTCATTCCTGCTGCTTGTGCACCTTTTTCTTCCACACTTTTCCCTTCCACACAACTTTCTATTAATGTGCTTTGATACAGCACTTTGGGAACATCCAACTTCTTTTGCAATTACCTTTTGAGGCTTTCCCTCCTTATGGAGGGTGTCAATGATGGTTTTCTGCACAATTGTAAGGTCAGCAGTCTTTCCCATGATTGTGATTCCTACTGAACCAGACTGAGAGACCATTTAAAGGCTCAGGAACCCTTTGCAGGTGTTATGGCTTAATTAGCTGATTAAAGTGGGACACTTTGAGCCTAGAATATTGCACCTTTTCACAATATTCTAATTTTCTGAGATTGTGGATTTGGGGTTTTCATGAGCTGTAAGCCATAATCATCACAATTATGATAAATCATGGCTTGAACTATCTTGCTTTCCATGTAATGAGTCTATCTCATATTAGTTTCACCTTTTAAGTTGCATTACTGAAATAAATGAACTTTTGCATGATATTCTAATTTTTCGAGTTTCACCTGTACAAGTCAGGATTTATATAACCCAGGAATGTATAAGTAAAATTAAAAATGAAATATTGTTTGCAATAGTTCACAACATTATTAAATGCATGCAAAGGGCACACAAAAAATTGTTTTCTATAGATAAAATTCTATCATACAAATAGATTTCTTAAGATCATGTTCTATTGAAAGAATTGGTATTAATCATATGTGCATTGGAACACAAATACCAGCCTAGAACTTCTATGAGGTTTTTACAGTTGTGCCTCCAGGCAGAAAGCTACGGGAAGTCTAAATTGATAGCTGTCATGGAACACAAGATGAGCAGAAATCTGTGGGTATTCCCCTCTTCCTGCTGTTTCTGTAGGACAGTAGATGAGTTGAAATCTCCACAAGAAACACAAACAGTAGGGCTAGTGTCAATGGGCAGATGCAAGTATACCTTCAGGTGTATTCAGCTTGCACTTAAAGCAGAACTAAAGACAAAAGTACCTTAATTTGAACAATTTGATGCCAGCAAGTTCCAATCCTTGTATCTTCTCCTTTGGTTCCCCTGGGTGTCGGTCTTCACCCATCTTGATTGGACAGCTAGGGATGAGGTCACTCCCGTGCATGGGCAGGAGTGCAATCATTCTAGCACCCAGGCAGTGTGCCGGACCGTATACTGTGCTGTGCGTGCGCAGTTCAGTATACGTTCTGCAGGGGATTGCGAACAACCAGTAAGTTTATTTCATTGCATGTCTCTTCTGCATTAAAGAGCCTCCCTGTTCGCCATTTATTTTGTTCAGATTTAGCTCCACTTTAGCATTAGTTTAAGATGCTTCTAAAATCATTGACCTGTAGTTGCTCTCCTACTGACCTGCACTATTCCTCTTAAGCTGCATCAATTACTGTCTGTAATTCTTGTGACTAAGAATTAGATTAGGTTTGGCTTGAACCTGGAAGACAGTCATCAATGCAGGACCAATAAGCTGCGGTGGAGGATTCCCTGCCCCACAGCTTCATGTACATATTGGGGAAAGGGTGCTTATTATAGCATTGATTTAATATGGCCATGCAGCCTTATTAGGTCACTGAAGTCACAAGCATTCCTGCCCCTTTGTATAAGTGCATGGTGGGGAATTGCCTGCCCACAGCCCATTGGCCTAGGAATGACAGCTTACTCCCAGGTTTGGTCAAACTCAAGTTCAGACCGAACCCAAAGTCATCACTACAGTGACCTCTATGCAGGAAGAAGTAGTTCTGATACAAACAAAAGCCCTTTGACACAAGCCAGACAAACCTGATGGAAGACAAAAAGAGGCTAAAGTAACCAGTCAGAAGCAAAATATACAAATAATCGCTCAAAAACACTCCTGTAGGAGTTTGGCTCATTATATTTCTTTTCCCTGCATCTACCTTGTTACGTGGGTACTGTACACAAAAGGGCCCCGTTTATATCAGAAAGCAGATTCTGTGTTGCATAGCCAGACCAAGCAGAAAAGGTGAGGCCACTCTCCTATGTTTGTTATATAGGTTACCAGAGTTTAAATACGATTTCCATATCTAAACATAGCACAACTTTACAGAAGAGAAATGCTAACTGCACGGAAAACAGCATCATTACCAATGCTCACACATACAAATTCTCACCTGCAAGTACTTCTGTTCTGTGAAAGAGGTTCTCTGACTGCTTCTCTGTGTACACGTCTGTATCACTGTTGGGGTTACTTCCTACGGTGTCTTCAGTCTTCCTTATCTGAGGCCCCTACGATGCAGGAATAGAAACAGTTTATAGAAAATCAGACATAGAAGCTTCCTCACATTAAGAAAGGTTTACTTTTCCTCCGCGTTTATTAAACACACAAAGCATTACAGCAGTCTGAAACTTTGCAAGTGCAGCAGCCTAGTACAATGCAGATCTCCTACAGTTTTCCCCAAGTCTGCTAAAAATATTGCTTGTGCATAGTGTTGTTCCTAAGCAATTCTCCATGATTAATTCAAAAAATTTTATATATATTCCATCTTGATTGTTTGCAAAGCACTTGGTGACCATTCACAGTTATGTGTTCTGGTAACAGGCATTACCGCACAGCAATGTGTGTACCAGTCTCTGGTACCATTCTAATGCACTAATACAATAGTGGCCAATGTCCAATGGGGTCATGTCCAATGTTGGCTGTTGTGGTTTGTTGGAAGCTAATCTGACATGAATGGGCTGCCTTAAAGTGTTACTAAACCCACAACAGTAAAATCAGTCTGTATATGCAGTAAAGTATGCTTGTTATACTCACTGTGGAACCTAACTGGTTAATCCTCTGCATTGTGTAAAAAGGCTGTTTGATCCTTTTTTCTCTGCCCCTCCTCTTGTTGAAATGTCCACCTGATACATGCACATGCTCAGTTTGGTGTGTATTGCTAGAGAGGTTTTTTTTTTTTTTTGGGAGGGTGCATGTGATCAGCACAGGGCTAATCAGCACTGTCCAGATAGAGGGTCAGAGGTTTCACATCCTCCTAGAGCAGAAAGAAAACTCCTCCTACAAGCTTTAACCAGTGCTCTTCTGAAGTCACAAGACTGATCTAATGCTGATGAGAAAAGGTATTTAGCAGTTTATATTTACTAAAATAATTGCATTTCCATGTTGTGTGTACAGTGGGAGACCAGATATAGTGAATGCAGAGTCCTGGGTTTAGTAACAGTTTAATGTAATGCAGCTTAACATTCTTTTGTTAATGCACTGCAATGCAGTGCTAAAGTGTGAGTGGGCCATTACATTGTGTAAGATGCTGGTGTTTTAGAAATATTGCATTACAAGAACAATTATGAGATTGTAAACGTACCCCTGCTACCACTACAAGTTTCGTCTGCATCTTCAGTGTAGTCGTCTCTATAACTGGAGCATCACTAGTGGGTGGACTCTCTGGAAGTGATCGGAGGGTCGTCAGCTGTACTGCATCTTCTTCAGCATCAACGTCCGCCACCCCTGGTTATTGAGACAACAGAACAAGTCTATCAGTCTGTGCAAGTTTAAGCTTTGATATATATAAAGAAATAATTCTTAAAGAATCTCAGAATCCACAAATTCTGTGGCCTCTTACATGCCCTTGGCATGAAACCTCATGTCACCACATAACTTCTTTACAGCCTGAACCTTGAAGACCATCTGCCAAGTACATGTAGCTTCCCAAACTGGGGCCCCCACATGGCTTGAGAGCCTCCCTAATTAAAGATCAGGCTTTAAGTTTGGGGAGCATAAACACCCTCATAAGAAAGCTCTTGGTAACATCACAGCAGGGACATATTCCTATACCTATCTGACAATTCCTAGAAAGTTAAAGTATATAAAAGAAATTTAAGCCAGCCATAGATGGTTCAAATCTTGGCTGGAACAGGCCAAGATTCGAGCCATGTATGGGCACGCTGAATGTACTCCAGTTGATCAATCAACTTGGGTACAACCAGCCTGCCAGATTTTACATGCGATTATTGCTAACGGCTGTTATAGCTGCTAGCAATATCACTGTCTTGTCCTGGCAGGGATGGCTCCCGCAGGACCCCTGCCAGGATAATAAAATGGCTCAGTAGGAGGGATTCCCCTGTCAACAGTGTGTGTGTTGATGGGGGAACCCGTGGTTGCAGGAAAGAAATGCACACTGTATATGGCTTGCCAAAGGGCTCATGGATGCAGTGGAGCCCTGTGCAGAGGAGCCAGAGCTACCTGTCCTCATCAGATGCTTCATCTGATCCAATTTCATTGCGGTTCTATTACCTTTAGATTAAAACCAAGCTAACTATAAGACATAGATAGAAAAACTTTCTTTGGCTTTGACCTGACTCTGCCCATAGTACCCAAAACAACGAGCCAACTAGACTATAGATGGTTCCCACTAATGCAATATATCTCAGACATATTACATGTTTCCAAGACACTCTGACATACTGTAGGGATTACAAGAATATCGTTTTCAACATATTATGCAATAAAGGGCAAAGACTAAAATTACTACATTGTGCCATATCGAAGAAAAAAAAAAACGATACACTTTCATTCTATCAAACTAGTTATTTGACATCATTATAAAGGCAATTTTGACATAATATAGTTATATTTAGCATATTTAGCATAGAGGACAAGGGTGGCCCAAAACAATGAAAGCAATGTTTCGGCATGGATGGGTCAAGTTCATATGTTAAGTGTTCTATTTTTTTCAAGCATTTGTCATATTCAATGAATAGTTTCAGTGTTATCAAGTCAGTATTTTAATATTGACTAGCAGGACCCACTTACTGTAAGTTACCCACTTACAAAACAAAAAGACAAATGAATGAACAGCTAGATTAAATACACAGTCTTTAGATTTCAGTGCTTGCAATCTGCATTGGATTTTGCTTGTGTAGATACTCTAATGCATCTTTCACACCATACAATAGTTGCAGCCTATAGCAAGTATATTTTCTGTCACTAGGGACAAGGGCATTAACATAAACCTGTGATCAGACGGACAAGTAGGCGGCCATAGGTAGCCACTGCTGACCTTCACCAAAAATACCAATGGCATGGCTGTCCCCAACTCCCATACATTTTCAATTACTGATACAAAACACATATAATCATTAATAGAGATGCTAGAGTAATGTGACCACAGGTAACAACTAATACTCTCAATTAATCACACCATCTACGAAATATAGATATAAATAGATATAGATAAATTTACAGACAGACAGGTGTGGTTTGGCAACTCGCTGCCAGAGCAAAATGATTGGGAAATGCAACACCAAAATATACTGGTTCCGCCACTTATGTACCCCTGGCTTTTCCCCTAACCATTCAAATTACACACACCATAAAAAGCTTCTTACCAGCCATCAAAGTGAACCTTATGGGAGGCCGCAACACATCATGCTGGCTCACCCCCACCCCTTATGTTTACATGCTGACCCTAAATTAATTATTGAACCTAACCAAAAAGGCAAGATAAAGGGATCTACCCTTGGATAAATTGGTAAGAAACCCACAAGACTTACTGTGGGTACCAGTTCACGGATTACACAGTGCTGAGCATAAATGAGTACATCCTTTTAAAAGTAAGATTTTTATCAATATCTCAATGAACACAACAACAGTTTCCAACATTTTGACAAAATTGAGCTTTATAGAATATTTGTTTAGCTCATTACATGAAAGAAAGGATAATAATATAACTTAGATTACAAAATCTTAAATTTTACTCAAATTAGTTGATGCAAAAATGAATACACCCCGCAACAAAAACTACTACATCTAGTATTTTGTATGACCTCTATGATTTGTAAAGACAGCACCAAGTCTTCTAGGCATGGAATGAACAAGTTGGTGACATATTGCAACATCTTTTTTCCATTCTTCAAGAACGACCTCTTTTAGAGCCTGGATGATGGATGGAGAGTGATGCTCAACTTGTCTCTTCAGAAATCCCCATAGGTTTTCGATTGGGTAGAGATAAGGAGACATACTTGGCCACTGAAACACTTTCACCCTTTTCTTCTTCTGAAATGCAACAGTGGCCTTAGATGTGTGTTTTGGATCATTGTCATGTTGGAAAAGTGCACAAGAACCAAGGACACGGAGTGATGGTAGCATCTTCTCTTTCAATATAGAGCAATACATTTGTGAATTCATGATACCATCAATGAAATGCAGCTCCCCGACACCAGCAGCACTCATGCAGCCCCACAGGAGGACACTGCCACCACTATGTTTCTTTGTAGGCACCATGCATTTTTCTTTGTACTTCTCACCTTTGTGATGTCATACAGTATTGAAGCCATCAGTTCCAAAAACATTTATCTTGGTCTTATCAAGCCAGAGTACAAAATACTAGTAGTCATCTTCTATTTCAGAATGGGCCCTGGCAAATTCCAGGCCGTGTTTTTTGTACATGGGCTTTAGCAGAGGCTTCCTTCATGGATGACACCCATGCATGCCATGGTTGCAGTTCCATCTTTGTAAAATTTTTGTATCACTTTTTGCTGCAGTATTCTGACTGATAAGTAAAGCTTTGCTGTTCTTCATGTAGCCTTCACCTTTCTTGTGTAAAAAAAATTATTTTCTCTTTCTCAGGCCTTGTGACATTTCTCTTCCATGTGGTGCTATTGATGACAGCATGAAACGGGAAGGGATTTGCTTTGTAAGCAACACCCGTTTATAATCAACTGTCTGCTGGACACCTGTTTAATGAATAATTAGACTCACCTATAGTTGAATTCTTGCTATTTAGGATTTTGTTGTCTACAATTTAGCTTTGCTCCTAAAACTTTTATTGGTGTGTATTCATTTTATTCATGGGCTTGAATTAATTTGTTAGGAAAAATAGTTTTTTTGTGTGTGCAAATTAACAAATCTTGTTTGCAATCAATGGCCCGCATTTGTGGGAGTATTATGTAGTATAGTATCCCATTGAAAATGTTGATTCTGAAAGGAAAGAAAATGTTTTCTGACAAATCTGTTTGGGTGTAGTCATTTATGCTGAGCACTGTATCAATATGCAAATTATTTAATGGACTTGGGGTATGAATGGACGAGGCGTTGGGTGTGCGCAGCTGCTTCTGGGATTAGTGACAATACTGATATTGTACCTTGTGGCAGGGTGGAGGTATGTGTTTTTTACAACTTTTGTACGATTTTTCATACTTGGTAATAAAGGAATTCCTTTAATTACTGTATACTGCTTGATCCACTGAGTAACCTTCTGTCTCGGGTTTCTTTCAGCCTGATTTTTTTTCTACCTAAATGAGTTATTGAGTTACTAGAAAGTATTAGAAAGAACTAACACAGCTGAATCACAAAGACAACCAGGCAACTTGCATTTTCAAAAGTCATCCACATCCATGGCAGGCTACATATTTCTCATGCAAATAGAGAAACAGAAAAAGGGCGCACCGACCTAGTGCATTATCGTTTAAAGATTTATTGAAGAAACAAAGTAAGTATCATACTCACAATAGACATAAAAACACAGGCATGTCAAACTGAACAAGATGTAGGATCCAAACAACATCTGAGTCCCTCTGGGAAGAGGTTGTGTCCTCGAAACGCGTTAGGCAGTTGGTCATCCAGGGTTCCATCGTATGGACTCAGATGTTGTTTGTTCAGTTTGACATGCCTGTGTTTTTATGTCTATTGTGAGTATTATACTTACTTTGTTTCTTCAATAAATCTTTAAACGATAATGCACTAGGTTGGTGCGCCCCTTTTTCTGTTTCTCTAGTGTATTTGGACCACCCCGGTCTGTTGAGGGCAGCAAGCGGTGCATATTCCAGAAAATTCCAGAACATTCCTATTGGGTCTACTGAGTCTTTTCCTAGCGCAGGAGAAAAGTGTTTGTTGTGTTTGATTTTACATATTTCTCATAGCATGTTTCATTCAATTGCGTTGTATAAAGGAGTTGGCTTTAAAGATTTAAAAAATTGAAAGCATAGAAAAGGAGGCAGTACAAATCCTTAATCTGCGCCCAGATCAAAGTGATAGTATTGTATATGCCTTTCAAAAGAAATCTTTGGCAACAAGCAAAATCAGTCAGTAAATTGAGAATGTCAAAGACTCATTTACCAGACCAAACGCTGTATTTTATATGCAGTTAGGTCCATATATAACTGGACACAGGCACAATTTTATGTTTTTTTTTCAGGCATTTACCAAAACATATTCATGCTATAGTTATATAATGGATATGGGCTGAAAGTACACATTCGCAGGTTTAATTTGAGGGTATGTACATCCAAATTGAAGGAAGGGTTTAGGATTTACAGCTCTTAAGAGTAGCCATCCCCCTTTTTCAAGGGACCAAAAGTAATTGGACAACTGAATCAAAAGCGGTTTCATGGCCAGGTGTGGGCTACTCCATTATTTCTTCATCAATTAAGCAGGTAAAAGGTCTGGAGTTGATTCTAAGTGTGGTATTTGCATTTGGAATGCAGTGAAAGGAGCTGTCCATACAAGTG